GGTTCCCTGCTCCAGGGGGGCCTCTCCGTGTGTCACTTCAGTTTCTCCAAGCTGCACTTCTATAGGTTCCCCAGACTGTCCCGCAGTGCCTAGCAGATTCGTCCATCCGTTGCGCTAAGCGAGGGCCGATGCTGAAGTCGGGCATTCCCCTGCCTAGGCACAAGGGAGAGCCGCCTTGCGCCTCGCTTGGGAGTTAGCTAGCGCTCTTGCCCAGGGTGGGGGAGCCTTGGGAACCACTCCATCTCTGCCTGGGCGAGCTCAGACCCTCTGCGAAAGGTGCTGTCGCTACCAGGACTATGGCTCTAACCACCCTGTGTTAAGTGAGTGTGTTTGTATGTTTGATGGCTCCTATCCTGTCAGCATTTGCATTAAAGCCACTGGATAAAGAACAGAAACTGTCCCGTGCACAGAGACTGGAGTTAGAGCCACTCCCCACTCCCCCATTTTGGCAGATGAAATCGTCCCTGCTCCTCTGCTTGTGGGCTCTGTCTGTGCCACCAAACCTGGATGCTTTGTGCACAGTGGCACAGCCTGGAGAAGAGGGGTAGGAGGTAGCCGTCTTTACCTCCCCATCCCTCCACTGCCCAGAATAAACCTTGTTAAAGTGGCTGAACCCTGTCCTGGGGGAAAGGCAGTTTTGGAGCTGAAACCCTGCCGCTAGAAGCAGCCGAAACAGAAATAGTCTACACAACAGACTATTGCAAGTTAAGGGAGAGGTGTTTTCTTTGTGTTTCAAAAGACAAGAGTGATGCCTGCTGAATTCTTTGAGATAAATGTGCAGCTGCCTTCTGTGTGTGGACAGAGGCACTGCCTGGGAGCTGTGCTACCCCACACGGAGGTCTGGCTTCTGTTGGGAATCCGGGTGCTTGAAAATGGCATGTGATGCTTGACTTTCAGTGGGCCGGAGCCTCCATGAACACTCCTCTGACTGTCATTATTTAATTCACTTTTTATTATTATTGTAAGGAAGGCATGGAGATTTAGGAAGGATTTCACTGATTGTTTCTGTATTTGCACTACAATGGATCTGGGGACTCCAGCCAAGTCTGTGTCCCATGTGTGAGGCAGGTTTTGTACAGATATAAGCAGAGGAAATTCTTGTTCTCGAGAGCCCAGATAAGGAATGAGTGGTGCTTTTGTGAACAGGGATGGGTCTTTCCTGTGGTTCAGCATGACCCTGCTAACGTGGAAAGGGTTAATATTAGCTTCACAATAATAATAGAGACCCACATCCTTACTCCTAGATAAATCCCATGGAAATCGCAGCACTACTTGGAGATGAAAAAGTTACTCTAAGTGGGGAAGTCTCATATAAAGACATATATTTCTTTTATAAAAGAAATTATAATTATTAGTGGTATTACCCCAGAGCACAGCAAGAAAGCATCTTGCTCATTCTGATTGCTCAACACAAATCATGCTAAATCAAAGGAAAAGGAGACAAATATGTACTGCAGCTTAAGGAGACACCCATTCAAAAGAGGTAAGATGAAACCAAGATAGGCAGCTCTCAGTTCTCTAATGTTGCTGTAATCGCTGTATCACACTGCTGGAAGGGTCCTTGGGCCCCATGGCAGAGTGAGCTCTAACTCACCATCGTTCCTGTAATGGAGGCTCTGTTCTTCCCCAGGCAGTCTATTTCTATGCTTCTCCGTCCTTATCATTTTCCTATCTCACCTGAATTTTCCTTGCAGCGTTCACTAAGCACATCACTTCTTGTCCTGTCCACCATGGACAGGGAGAACAGATTATCCTGGCAGTAGTCTATACATATTTAATGAATATCTCTTGCATCTGTTCCCTCTTCCCCTTCTCATTTCCTAGGCCAAACAATCTAATTTCTGGCATTTTTTTCCCCACGAGTCACATTTTTTAGGTCTCTGATTGTTGTTTTTGGTTTGTTCTGGATTCTGCACACTTGTTTCATGGTTTTATTTTCTTTTTTTCCCTCTGTGAGATGCCCACAACTCAACTCAGTTCTACAGTGGAAAGATGTCTTATGTCGAAGAACTATGTCTTATGATCTGCACTCCTATTTATACATCCTGTAAGATCTCTGCCTTCCTCCCATCACAGGCTTATCCACAACTGGTGACCTACTGAAACTTCTTTGCTGTCCTCAAGGCCCAGGCAGGTGTTACTTGCTCCATATGTGCATAACAGCCTACATGAAGTGTTTTGCATTTGCCCTTGCTAAAATGCATTGTAGTTTTTCCATCCTGTGTGCCCAATTTGCTTAGAGCACGTTGAATACTAAACCTGCCCTCCTCCATGCCAGCAGTCCTCCCCAGCTCTGTGCCATCTGGGTGTTTAGTGAGCCTGCTCTCTCTTCAGTGGTAATGGCAAAGTAGTGCAGTGCATTTAGGTAACACCCGGTGTGCACATTTCTTGCATGTATTTCTGAATCTCAATCTCAGAAGTACTGGACACCTTTGTGCAGGGCTACCAAGAGGGGACAAGATCTTTCTGAGCATAGGGACCCACTGCAGCAATGCTCTGGGCTCTGCAGAATAAGGAGGAAGGCTGACCATCCTGGGGAGTTGGAGAGGGATGAGACTGCCAAAGCCCTGGTTGCCACTGAAGGGTGGACGAGCTGGGGTTCCGAGAAGGTAATTTCACACATACCTCCTGAGTCCTGTAAGTCCTGATAGGGCTCAGTTGGCCCTAGATTAGTATCGTGCATTATTCAATTTTTGTTGCTATTGGATTTTTTTTTTTTAAATAGAGCTAAATGTCTTGGCAGTGTCACAAAATCACTAAAAGCCATTTAAAAATAATACTGTCACTAGAAGGCTTTTGAAGGATGAAATCAGGCAGAATTCATTCCTCTTCTGTCACCTGAAAGTTTATGTCACACTCCTCTCCTCCTTCCCCCTCTCTACCCACAGCAGTAACATTTATGTACGGTTTAATGTTATGATATTTAATCATGCAAATAATGATCTCATTCACTTTAGTGGGACTATTTATGTCCTCAGGATTTCAAGCCTAGCACTGTGCTCTGCAAAGCATTTCAGGGTTTTCCAATAAAGGTAGCCTCAATATCTAACACATTATGAAGGAACACTTGTGTTACTATACATCTTCTTTATTTAAATACAGATTTCACAGAATAATTAAAAAAAGGAAAAATGTACAATCGACATATAGCCAATCTCTTCATGCACACATGAAATGTGAAACTTCAGTAATGATGGAAATGACAGAATATGGGCAAATTAGCTTTGAATTCCTCCTTACCTGTTTCGTTGTTTTCTTTTCCCTATAAGTCCTTCTTTTTTTCTTTCTCCTTGGCAACAATTTAGACATTCTAATAATAATGAAAAAAAAAAGAACTTCTGGTATTGATTGAGTCTCCTTTTTTAAAACCTGTCTATCATTTTTCTCAAATGAATCCATATCTCAATATGATGTCTGTATGAAAGCAAACAAAGGGCATAAGGGAATGGATTAAAAATTGTAACACTAGCTAGTAAAAGCACTCAGACTGATTAATGAAAGCCATGGTAAAAAAAAAGCAAGGCTTCATGGACTGAAAGATCAGAGAAAAAGAGGACGAGGACACATAGCTTAACAGATGCTAGAAACAATCAACATTTGCTGGCATTTGTAGATGATTTTTCTCAGTACCGTGAAAATATCAATGAAATACTTTAAAGTTTGCAGGCAATGAAGCTAAATTATTGCATACCTCAATGATATCATATGGCAGGGGGAAAAAAAAAAAGAAAAACAAAAAGGAAAGAAAAAAGGAACAAAAAAAGAAAGAAAAAAAATTAGGTCAGTTATAATATAAAAAGGTAGCAAGAAATGTCAGTTTTAATGTCTATATTTTGAAAGAAGATTTTTCCTTTTTTTTTTTTACTTTTACTTTTTCTTTTTTCTGTGCATGCTATTGCTTCTCCATGTTGTAAAGCAACAGTTCCCTCATATGCAAATGAATTTCTTCTTTTCTTCACAGATACATATACCCACATACAAGGGTCAGAAGGTGGTCTAAGCATATGGATTTTATGGAGGAAGATAAGGGGCTGGAGATGAATAATTCACCTTTTAACCAATGGGGGGGGGGGCTGTGTTTTCCCCCTTTCTTTTCCGAATCTATTCCTTCCTCATCCACCCAGTTATTACTCCAGTTTTTAAAATGGATTAGCAGCTGTGACCATTGTAAGTCTTTTACTTATGACTTTGTAGACACTGGTGCTGACCAGGAATATATTAGCCAGGCTGTTTTGTACTGAAAAATATTGGTCTGTCTATTCAAGCAATTGTTGCAGTTTCCCTGAAAATTAACCTTCAGAAAGGCATTAACATGATGGAAATTTTCAACTCTTTGAAAAAAATCAAAATTTAAACCAGTGAATTTAAGTTTTTCATTTTCAAATGATTCTTTCAATTTTTGTTGTGGATGATAGGTTTTTTTCAGAATCAGAGATGAAACATGACAGAGTCCTTAAAGCAAACAAGATTGATTAGAAAAGAAGACCATTCTTCTTCGTTGGGAAAGGAGGGCCTTTATCCTAATTCAAAATCAAGTGCAGTTTTCATAATTTGAAAAAAACTTCCCAAAACAGAACTGCTGTCCTTTGCATTGCTCTCTGGGCCACCCAGAAGTTTCCCTTCACCCTTTCACCCTTTTCCAACCAGGTTTCAGAGAGCAGCTGTTTCTTCACTCATCTCTCTCCCCTACACATGCCATCACTCTCCTGTAATGCTGTTAAGACTTGTGAATCCCTGGAGCACCTGCATTGCTGAATGAACAATGCTTTTTATAAAGCAGTAGACAGTTCTTGATGCTTTATGGGATTCCTTTGAAGAAATTTTTTTTCTTTTAATACAAAAGACCTTTGACTTGCATGTTAATTGTAACAGAAGTTAGAAGGAAATGAACTATTAAATTCATCTCTCAATGCACTACAAGTGAAATCTTTATAATCTATAGCAGACAAACCATTTACAAGCATTTTTTTTCTTGATTTACTATCTGAAGCAGCAAGTGGTAGGAGTGATAGCCTGATGGGTGAAGCTACAATTGAAATTAATACTAGAAAGGAGACTCGAATTTGAGACATTCAAAAGAAACTAAAAACCTAAAAAAGCACATGTAAAGCCATTCTGTATAACTTTTTCACTTGGAATAATAAT